TCTAAAAGATGTCGCCACAGCTGAGAGGTTGTTATGTCCATATTTATATTTCAGAGGTTAGAATGCTGTCTGCGTGGTGTGATTTAAGGATAATCACCGTGCTTGTTCTGACCCTAAAGTGCTTTTAAAAACAGGTGTAATATTTCATCATGATAATGCAAAACTTCAAACCCCACCCTCCCTTTCTGCTCCGTAAATCACACAACACACAGCAACACTGATGGTGGAAGCCTCTCCAACCTTGCATTCCTTCTTTCTGACTTACACCAAACCTCCTCCTCCTCCTCCTCCTCCTCCTCTTCTCTGGGGAGGGAGGGCAGCCCTGTGGAGGGCCCCGAGACTTGGGTCACGTTCATGTCTCTGTTTATTTACTGGAGTGCTAGAGGTTGAACAAACTTTGTTTTCAAATGGCTCATTTCCCGAGGGAGACTTAAAAACCTAAACACTCATATAACAGAGTCCTCTAGGTCAAACAAGTTATATTATGAAGTTCATTTATGATCATTTTGACACTCAAGTCATCATACATCATGTAAATATGACCGTACAGGACAAATACTTACTATCCTTGACAACAGTGATGGCTGACATCATGCACTATTCCATTGAAAGCCAACTGGGAAATACATTGCATGGTTTTACATTTATTTCCTTACGATGTGCACATATATCGTTTCATAATTAGGGATAGTTGAACCTTCATTTATATTCCTGAAATCAGATTTTCTCTTCCAGCTTGTGACTGCGACTCTCGGGGAATCTCCAGCGATCAGTGCCATCGTGCGACGGGTCAGTGTACCTGTGTGGAGGGCGTGTCTGGGCCACGGTGTGACACATGTGCCAGAGGCCATCAGGGGGAGTTCCCCACCTGTGAACCCTGCCACCAGTGCTTCGCCGCCTGGGACACCGTGGTCGGCGAGCTGACCAATCAAACTCGACGTCTGGAGGCTCAAGTGACACAGCTCCAGACCAGCGGGGTGACGGCGCCATACAAAGAGTTGGTCAGCAGCCTGGAGAGGAACACCAAAGCTGTCAGAGAAATAGTAGAGAACAACCCTGCAGCAGTGAAGCTGGAGCAGATACAGGAGCTGATGCATCAGATTACGTATGTACACAAACAAATCTGTACAACATCTGCAGACACCTTTTTGTTTGAGTTCATTACTGTCTTGTTTCTTTCAGCGGTGTGATGTCCTACCTAAACGGAAAGCTGAACACGACGGAGGAGACCTTGAACCTTCTCCAAAGTGACGCCAACGCCACCGATGCAAAGTTGGACACGCTGACCGATGAGGCCAACCAGCTGGAGCTGAGTGTCCAGGAGCTGATAGAGGAGGTGTACAATGCCAAGAACGCCAACATCCAGGGTGAGAAACTGTGCTTTTTAAACCTTAAACCAACAGAGAGGCCAGCGTGTCATCAGTAATATTGCTTCACATACATCCTGAAGCATGGTCTGAGGAACAACGGATTAGTCTTCTATGCAATTCCAGAAATTTGTTTTAAAAGAATTGACTCCTGAAGAAGTTAGCATATCATCAGATACATCACAACTGGAGAGTATTCCTTCATTAAAAGAAGAGCAAAGAACAGCACTGAAGGCTTTTCTTGATGGAAAAGACGTTTTTGCTCTTCTCCCGAGATTTTGACTGACAGATGGTTCATCCAATCACCTGCCAAGTATTTTCTGAAAGTCATAGTCATCACAGGGTTTCTTACATGTCCCTGAAGTTGCTTTTATAACCACCAAGTAGCTATTTTCACCTTACAGAACAGCTGAGTAACGCTGAAAACCACCAGTTATTGAATAGAAATAACATGCCACTATATTGTCAAGTAACCCGGTTTCATATGGCGTACTCATGCTGACATCCCCCCATAAATACATGATCCATTTCCCTAATTTCACAGGAATTTACCTCTTAGAGTTCCATGAAGACCTCAGACCGACTGACACCCTTTTCTGTGTCTTCTCAGGTGCCATGGACACCATTGCAGCCGCACACATGCAGTCTACGATGGCTGAGCTCCGCGCCAACACCTCCACCAGCAATCCCAGAAGCACGGTGGAGGAATCGGCCACAGTACGGAAAGCCACAGAGGACAAACTGAGCGGCGCTCAGAAGGAGTTTGACCGCAAGCACCAGAGAAACTCGCAGAAGCTGGACAAACTGTCTTCTGAGCTGAATACATTTGACCTGTCACCACTTGGCGAGAAGGTGAGAGAGGTTTATAAAGAGTCTGTTTTTCTCAATAAAGTTTCATCTTAATGCTGAACATCGTCGACAAACAGACTGACCTCAAACTGATTAAATATTCACTTACACTCACATTGTTTTCTGTTCTTTCTCTGCAGACATGTGGTGGTGCAGCTGAAGGGGACGGCTGCTCTGGCTCCCCCTGCGGTGGTTTGGGTTGCGTCGGCGAGGACGGAACGCCTCAGTGCGGCGGAGACGGATGCGGAGGCCTCGTCACGACTTCCCAAACTGCACTGAAATCAGCCAAAGACCTGGACCGGGAGATCCTCGCAGCAAGTCAGGAAGTGGACAAGCTCTCCAGGATGGTGAGTGAACATGGTAGAAACTCAACTAATGTAGAATGACTTCAGATGTAAGTGAGCTTTTACTGATTCTATTTGTGGTCAGGTGTGGGAAGCCAACAACCGCGCAAACAAGGCCAAGGTGAACGCTCTGGAGGTTCTGGTCAAATCCAACCAGAGCAAAGAGAGAGTGGAGCAGAGCAACCAGCAGCTCCGGAACCTCATCAAAGAGATACGAGACCTGCTCACCAGTGAGTAGATCGCAAGAAAAGTCATTTTGAAGTTTAAAAAGGGGGAAAGAAAGTATCAACTCTGTTTTGTTTCTGATTATCCAGACGACACGGCAGATGTTTCGGTGATTGAGGCGGTGGCCAACGAGGTGTTGGCTCTGGAGATGCCGACCTCGACCGAAAAGCTGCAGGAGCTGACGAAGGAGATCAGGGAGAAGGTCGGCACTCTGACCAGCGTGGAGACGATCCTCGGTCAGAGCGCTGAGGACATCCAGGCTGCAGAGATGCTGCTGAAACAGGCCAAGGCTGCCAGGTAACATAATAATATTTAAGATTATACGAGTATAGGTTCATTTTAGTGAGTTTTTGCGGTCTCCAGACATAAATGAGATGCTGCGTTTTCTTAGATTGTCTCTCGTCTACATGATATATGAATAAAGTTATGTTATTGTAAATACATATACTCTATCTGTCCATCAGCGAGGGGGCGTCTAACATAAAGGAGGCGGCAGATGTGGTGAAGGCCGCCCTGGATGAGACAGAGCGTGCTCAGAGTACCGCTATGGACGCCATCCAACTGGCCCAGAACAACACGAGGGGAACCCTGGACCTGCTGGTCTCTGTGAGTTTAATCCACAACCCTCTTGTCTCAGACTGATGGAAGCTTCATGTACCGATAACGGACACAGAGCCAGTGACTTCAACATGTGCGCGTGTGTCAGGTGGAGTCGGAGACGGCCATGTCGGAGCTGAAGCTCGGTAACACCACGGGTCGTCTGGTTCAGCTCGAGCGGGAGGTCGGCCTGCTGAGACAGAACAACCTGGAGGTGAACCGCATGGCGGAGACGGCCGACTGGACCGCCGACCAGGCCAGACTGAACGCAGAGGAGGCCCAGCAGGTTGCTCTCACACACACGGACACACACTGTTTACTCATCATTCCTCCTGAAATACCTTAAGTCTGGATTTTGAGTAGTGAGGGCCGCTTTCCACCAGTCTAGCATTTTCTGCTGCTGTTCTCCCAGTAATGCTCCTGTGTGTGTGTGTGTGTAGGAGTTTGACGTGGAGGTGAAAGACAAATTAGTGGAAGTCAAGGACCTGCTGGAGGATAAAGGGGAGTCAGTGCTGCAGGCGAGGAGGAGAGCGGACGAACTGCAGCAGGAAGCCAAAGAACTGCTCGCACAGAGCAGCAGCAAGCTGCTGAGACTCGGAGGTAGCCGTCAGATGTTTACAGTATTTTCTTTACATACTATATTATGAAATATTATGACTTTTATGAGATTATTTATGACAGAAACAGCCCGGTTTTCTTTCATAAGTCACAGTTTACTTTGTTTTCAGAGTTGGAAAGTTCTTATGAGGCCAACCAGCTCATCCTGGAGGCCAAAGCTGCAGAGCTGGTGGAGTTGGAGCAAACCGTCCGACGGATCCTGGAGGAGATCAGCTACAAAGTGACGCTGTACAGCACCTGTGCGTGATGATCACCCGGCTGGGATTTTAATGGTGCCAAGTGTTTTAAAGCATTTCAATTATGCTCCCAGATAATTCTGAGTATTTTATAGCTTTTAGGACCAAACACTGTAATATGTTTGACACTGTCAGTGCCAACAACTTAACATTCAAGTATATTGGACAGCTGTGCCAAAACAAGTGAAATAAGCTGTACTGCTGCCAAAGACCATTGAAGTATTGAATTAACGAGTCTCAAAGGAAACCACTAAAAGCCGATGTGACCTCAGTGCTCGAAACCAAGAATGTGTGGAGAATATTGAACAATGTAACTGTATAAGATATTAAGACCTTTGTATTTAAATATATGACTGAACATATTTGATAGAAACAATTTATACGTACTGAATAAGCCCAAAGATAAACATTTCTGAATAGTTTTGTTTGTGCATACGAACAAATATTAAACTTCTATTTGAAAATCAAGTAACTGAAGCGTCGGTCTTTTATTTTAGGTGGAGCGTCAAGAGTTTCACTTTCAGCTACCCGATGGCGACTTTAATACCAGCTTGATTCCAGATTAATTTTAACAATTGTTCAAGGTTTCCCTGAGGTGGTAACCCATAAAGATCTTTACTAATCTTGTAATCAGTTTAGTGAGTTAACAGGCTGAACAACAGCGCCTCACACAGGCAGAGAACAGCGACTACAGTGATGCTGAAGTCCAGAATAAAAGGTTTGAAGTGTTTGATACCGTACATGATAAACTTGGACAAAGATGATTTACAAGAACAGAGAAACGTTTTTTATTTGATACATTTGGCATTCAGAAGAATATCTGTTCCGGTTAAAATAGAGCATCCTCCATGAAACAAGTCATTCAATATCATTACAAAAGATGACGGATGACTCTTACAGTACTAACAACAGACGTGTTATTGGTTAATTTGTGCTGTATTGGTACAATGACAGACAATGTAGTCTCATTACTCAGTGTGATGTTATGGCTCTGTTATGTGGCACTTCAGACAGCAGCAGCAACACTTGTGTTTAGTATTTGCACAATGGTGAGAGAGATGTGGGGTTTTAAAGGCCGACATTGATATAATTTTACTGCCACAACAATGACAACTATTCAATGTTTTCAAAGAGTTGTATTTCTTGGATGCAAAACATGAAATAAAAACAAATTCACATCATCATGGGACAACTAAATGTAACACTATAATCAAATTGCTTGAGTATTAGCAGCTTGATTAGGCCGGGCGAGGAAGGTTTAACAGACTAACAATGAAAGGAAAATCCTCCCACAACACACTCGTATGATCTCTGTTTTTAGACATCTGGTGTAAAAATATATGGAGCTGTGGTCAGAGAATCTTAAATCAAAATGTTGACCCCATTTACACCCTTGATGAACTTCAGCGTTTCAGCTCCAAACAAAGTACAACTTGACATTAAGACTGTAAAAGTGTTTTGGATTTGTTTTTCTCTCCAACTCACAGGGGTTAAAAGTTGAGACCGGAGAACTGGCCTCGGGTCTAGTCTCTGCTGCGGGGGTTATGTGGTGGGGGGGCTCCTTCCACAGGATCCGAACTGGGCACGGAGAGCAGCTGGCCGGCGTGCATGCGTTCGTTGACGCGCAGCTGACAGCCATCCAGCAGCATGCGCAGCGCTATCCGGGCGATGTTACGCGAGTCGTCCAGCCCAGAGTGAGGGCGACCTTCGTACTTCAGACCCAACTTCTCCAACATGGTGCTCAGCTTCGTCTGTGTGCGTGGGACCTGGGGGGGGGAAGAACAGCTGGTTGGTGGTTTGCTGCTGTTTCTGATGGGGCTTAAATTCATTTAAAAACAATAAGATCCTTCAATAGGGCGTCTGCATTGAACATTTTGTTCTTTCATGAATAACTTGTATACCTTCTTGAGGGTTCATTGTGAAATAAAGACCGTAACATCGAGTCTCTCATATTAAAACGATTAAAAACACAAACCTTGTAGAAGTTTCCGTATGATTTCCTGATGTTGATCCACTTCTTTGCAAAGTGGGGGTATCGGATCCGGCTAATCCGGCACTGGATGTTGAGGAACTTGCTCATATCCCAGGCCCTGAACAAGAGGTAGAAAAGAGAGCGGTGTAAAGATTTCACTAAAGTGATGAGAAGAGCCACATATTCAGCATCTTCAAAGAACTCAAACACACCCGTCGGTAAGGATGGCGTATTTGTACTTTGTCCCGAGCTCCCTCTCCTGAAGCCAAGCGACGACCCGCTGGAGGACCTCTGGAAACAGCTCTGCTTCGTCCACCATTTTCTGCTCAACAAAACAACAGAGTATTCAATAACACAAGAACTCCTGATCACGCGTTGATGACGCCGATATCAGAGCGGGCTCCACCGACCTGTGTTATCCCCGTTAACTTCACACAGAAGTCTGAAAGCTGTGGGTTCGTCTCTGGTTTGACATATTCCTGAAAGGAGTCCACCTGCAAAGTAAATGACAAAGAAACGACACTCGTAAATACAGAAGTCGCCGCACAGGTTAAAAACGGAGCATCTCAAACTCAACTTACAATTTCTAAGGTGTGCGTGTTGATGAGAACCATGGGGAACTCAATGATTTCATGGTGGAAGTCTGAAGGATTATCCTCCTCACACGTCGCTTCAAAGTCCACCACGCAGATGTAGTCGTAGAAGGTGTCGGTGGGCCCCCCCTCAACGGGGGACTGCATCAGCTTCTGCTTTTTGTAGTGGCTCTTCAACCTCTTCTTCATCACGTCCTTCACACCTCTTTACACACAAAGAGAGAGAAGAGGTTCAGGGAACACTGAAGGTAGAAATGTTTATGAACTGAGCACCAAGCCCTGCGGTCAAATGTCTTCCTCAATAGTATGTTAATATGTTCTACTGTTTCTATTCTTTATTAGTTGTATATACTCTTTGGCCAGCGTTACCTGGTGTCGAGCTGCAGCGCTGCTAACTTGATCCGAAGCTCTTCCTTGGTCATGCGGTTGATGTGTCCGTTAGCCTGAGCGATCTCTTTGTACACCGGATGACTGAAGTCACTGATGGACTGAGACGGGGACACCTGAGGAGCAGATTCCTCATCGGGACATATCCTGCTGCAAGGCTTCACCTGAAGAAGAGTTATATAATTAATTATGTGGGACAGAAACATAACACACAGAGGAGTCAACATGCTGTCAGATTAGTTCACTGGGCAGGTCGGTGATGATAGAATATGGATTAAAACGTGCTAAGACACAAAGATGGAATATATAACTTGAGTATTTGCATTGTGTAGTTGTACTTCATTATATTAATAGGAAATATCGTTCCCTTTGCTCCACTACATGTATTTGATGATTTTAGTTACTATATTAAGAGTAATAAACAGTCATAGTATAGTATGTCATAATAACAGTAAAAAGTCATAGTATAGTATGTCACATATACATGTTTTCATCACCTTGTGGTTGCTGAAACTAAACAACATGCTTACACATGAATGAATCAATGATTATAGTCCAATAATACAACACACATTATTCTGAAATGGGTGATTCTGCACAATGAGAACTTTGACATTTGATACTTGAATATATTTATGCTTATATCTGCGTTCATTTTGGCGTTGAATTGTTGGCATCTCAGAAACATAAACAGCATTTCAAAGGTGTAGCATGAAGCTAACGTTAGCTCAGTGCATCCACCAACCTTCTCTTCTTCTCTCGTGTTAGACATCTTCACGTTGACGTCCTCGGTGTGAATGTTCTCCTTGTGCTCATCCATTTAAAGTGGAAGTTAATCCAGAAACTAGTCGGCAATTTAGAATAAACAACCTAGCGTGAATTTAAAGTGAAGTCAGTGCTAGATAACGGTTTAGCTTTATTTGCTAACATCAGCTAGCTAGCTAACAGGATAGCAATCATTCCAGTGTTTGGATTCTTCTTCGCGGTTTTCCACTTTGAACCGCTAACTTAAGTACGGAACTAACTCGTTCAGTTATAAGTATTACATACGTCTAAATCAATCAATAAAAACCGCGATTAATCGATAACGTTACTATCTCAGCTCAAGATGCAGGTCGCCGCTCAATGTTCAACTTTGTTTGAGGCGGACAGTTGGATGACTTCCGGTTTGCGCCAAAATTAAATAACGCTCACTGTCGCCACCCGGTGGTGTGGATGACACATAACATGTCTAATACTGGACATGTATTTCTGCATATTATGTCTTTTTAAAACACAATATGGATACTCACGTACTGTAATTTATTTATTTTTTTAATTTTCAATGATTAATATCAATTTCAATATTTATATATATATATATATATATGTATATATATATATATACACACACATGAAGATAGGACACACAATATATATCAAGATAATGTTTAATGTGCACTGTTGGTCATTTGTTCCTATATAACTAATGTTAATTATTATAATCACAATTGTTTTGCTTTTTGTTTGTGTACTCTTTTATCTGCTTTGCTATAGAAAATGCCAATAAAGCTTTTAAGACATTTATATGTGATTTGGAGACACTGCTCACACCTGACAGCTGGGGGGCAGTCTCCTCTAAGTTTTAGAAACAAACAGCAAAGAGCACGAGGACAGAAGAGGAGCAAAATACTGACTGAGTAAAAATATTCTATCTCCATAAAACACATAATCTCCATATCTGAAATATTTCTGGGATGGTAAAGCATTTTCCCCAAATCAAATCAAGAGTGGAGATCATTCAAAAACCACCTGACATGTATTTCAAGATGCACCTGCATTAAATTAACGTCGTTTAGCATAACGACTGGAAACAGGTGAGGTCATCCCTGTGTTCCCAGGGTCCACAGTTCTCGATGTAAACTAACATTGTAAGAGATCGGTAAGGGCCTCGAGGAGGAAACATGCTGATAAGATAAAATCCTTTGAAACATGTCAAACCGGTATCGTAAGCGACCTTTAACCTCCAGGAAGTCACTGGGCCAAGAAATAGTCTGTTACATTACCCATAACACCACAAAGTATTGTTTTGTACAGATTAAACCACAGAAATATAATGTCTATGATCAGTGAGCTTTAGGGGGCGGAGCCAGGCTAGCTGTTTATGCTAAGCTAAATTATTAAGTCTCATCTAACTCTTGAGAAGAAAAGCAAATATATTATATATTACTTTCAAGTACTATAACAACATACTTTAGAGGGTTTTCTTCCACTCAAAGTCATTTTTATGTATGAATCACTTAAGATGCTGAGCGGTTTGATCTCGGTCCTGACGTCACACAGTCCGATGGTCAATGTATAATGGATGAGATGTCGGGAATAAAAAAAAAAGACGACAAGTAGGAAACGGAACATCTGCAACGATCTTTAAACAAAATCTGATTTATTTTCTCATTTGAAAATAAGATAACGTCATGGAACCCCATAACCAGAAACTAATGCACAGAGAAGAGACCGGAATTTGAAAATATACATCGTGGACGTACAGCTTTGGAGAGGAGGTGCATTTCTCTCCTGAAGAGCAGATGCAAAGATGTTGAGCCAATTTGAAAACCACCAAAGACCGATGGTAAGAAAACTAAAATAAAAAGATTAAAAAAAAAAAGCAATTTCAGTGTTACTTAGAAAGGCGTCTGTGCCTTAAAAATCTCCATATTTGGCTTTAGAAGGGACGCAAACAGAAGACAAAGAATAAAATAAACTGACACGGCTTCAGTCCCGGTTCATACCCCCATCATCACAGTGTGCAGGGTTACAGAGCACAGCGCTACATGGTGCGCTTTCCTCTGTGAAGTCTGTTATGGTGCATTCAAGTCACGTGGGAAAAACGGTCGCCAAGGGGTTTATGCCATCACTTCTTCTAAGTTACCGACATTTCAGTCATTGCAATTCATACTTCTTAAAATCTGATGGCAGGGCATGAGTTAGTGTGCTAGCTTCATCTCCAATGAGGCACTTCTCAGCCGGCTAGTGTGAAAAGGCTGAAGGGAATTATTACGTGCGATTGAAATGTAGTAGCGGTAATCAATCACGGTCTCCCCGCAGCTTCATCAGGTGGGAATCCTTTCAAGTCAGGACTATTCCCACAGGACTTGAACGCAGCACGACATCGAAGGCTTTACACAAAAGTTAATTTTGTTCCGTTCACCTGGAAAAATAAAAAAAGGCAATTCAATAAAAAGCCAAAACATGCTAGAGCTTTTCTCTAATCGTGTCGGCCTTCCTCACAGTTTACAGGCTAGCTGGTCGATGCTAAAGCTGCACGTCAACTCATACGTTACCCGAAAAACACGAAACAGAGTTTACATGACGAAAACCCCAAAGCATCAACGAGACAGGAGGCAGTTTAAAAGAGTTCATTTAAAAAGGAATACTTTGACATTTTGGGAAAAACGCTTTTAAGCTTTCTTACAGAGAGTTAAATGAGTAGAACCAGCGGACGGTTAGCTTAGCTTAGCTTAGCTCCTGGTTCTGTCCAAAGATAACAAAATCTGCCAATGAGCAAAACAGTGACAGAAAGTCAATGCTTCTATCCAAGAAACAGTCCTGCACATGAAAGCACAAATTGTTGTATTTAAATAACATATATAACATGTTAATTACTGAGTCAGGCTAGCCGTTTAAACTCGTTTCCAGCCTTTATGCTAAGCTAATCATCTCCTGGCTCTAGCTTCATAGTGTGAGTGTTCACCAAACTCTCTCCAAGGAAGCAAACATTGTGTGGAACACGGTGGAGACACAAACAAGAAGCAGACACACACAAAACACACCCACAGTTTAAAACAACAGCGTATAAAACGTTTTAAATGAGACGAGAATAAACATGACATAAATACAGGACAGATCAGTACACAGTACAAATCAACCTTCGGGTGGACGTGTCTTTGTGTTGTCACAGCTGGCCGGTGTTCAGGACTGCTTGACTGGCCACATGCAGCCCGTGAGAGTGTTCAGAGGGGTGAGGTGGGGCCTCAACAGATACACGTCCCTTTAAAACAGGACAGGAAATAACCGGCCGTATTTCCACACACCGATCAAATCCTCCGTTTAGATTTTAGTGTCTTGTTGCTGCGATCCAGAATCCAGGTGGGGAATCCTAAAGCCAATAATATGGCCGATTAATTCCAGTTGATTCATCTTCTAGTTGTTACTTTGGATTGTAGCGATATACTTTTATGTCAGCGTTGTGTCAAAGTTGTATATGTTTGCACCTTCAGCACGTTGTGGATCTCGGTTATAACTTATATCAGCTTGTGTGTTGACAGCGGAGGTGCATTCTGGGAAAGGCTTTTCCGTGGACCCCATTGAGACATGCAAAGCACAAAGCCGTGAACCAATCACGTGGCGCCCACAACAAGGGCTGGTGTAGAAGGCTACATGTAAACTCGACAAAAACCTGGACCCTTCAGGGTTGGTCGTCTGCTTTCGCGCTCCCTCGAGTCAGTGCGAGAGGAGCAATCGTTCCAAAGCGCTCTGCAAATGTTCCCAGTTCTTCCACAGCAGCGCCAGCACGGACACGCCCACGCAGGTGAGCGCCAGGTGAACGCGGCTGCGCAGCAGAGGGGCGGCGAACTTGGCCGCTGTGGAAACGCACACCAAGATCACGGTGACTATGGCCAGCATGATGTTGATGCACTTCCCCAGCAGCACCTTGGCATCGGTGTTCTCCACCTGCACCGTCTGCTGCTGCTGCTGCTGGAGCTCCAGCTTTGACACGCGAGTCTGACACGACTCCAGCACCTCCTGCACGCGCACACACACACACACACACACACACACAATATGGTTGAGATCAGGGAAATACTGGAGAGCAAAGAGTCATAAGAGAAGGGCAGCGAAACTGGATTAGATAAGATTTGACATCAACTGCATTAGAAATGAACAGCAGTTGTGTATCTTATAAGGAATGAATGGGAGATGCAGGAGGCACCTCAGTGTGACTCGTCCGTCTTCTTCTTAAAAAAGACAAAATACCCAAAACGGTAAAAGAAAACAAAATATTGTACAACCAATTAGAAAAGATCAGAATGTTCTTTTTAAGTAAGTTCTCTGTTGGTGCAAAGTCGACGCTAAACGCTACGTTTAAAGTAGTTAATTTGATACGGAGTCCATGTTTTGTTGCTTAAACTGTCAAAAATGACTAGAGTGGTGAGTACTATGTACTATTATAGTGCTTTTGGGGTGAACTATTCCTTTAAACAATGAATAGATTGTCAACATCTCTCCATCTTTAACTCAAATATTACGGATGTTAAGTGTCTGTACTCGTTCAATGATGTTAAACTTGAGTCTGTGGTGTATTATATAACTCGCTCTCATATGTTTGTGTACAAAAACACAAAGTACCTGGATGTCCCTGGCCCTCTCGTAGGCCTGGTAGGCCACCTTCTCCTCGATGCTGGCCAGCTCCTGCTTCAGGTTACTGGTCTCATTCTGGTGGAGCTCCGTCAGGTCATTTAACTGGTCCTCCAACCGCTCATACCTGACACGCACACGCACACACACACACACACACACACACATGCAGAGGAGGAGGAGGAGGCAGAGCACCAACAATATAGAGAGAGGGTGAGCAAACGATGCATAATTGAGTGTATGTGTGTGTGTGTGTGTGGGCGAGTAACAGTACAGCAATTTACTTACTACAGCAACTGAGCTGCTGAAAACATTTGCCCTTGGACAACTTAGCAACAGTCTGGAGGTTTGTGTCTATTTTTAGTTTGCAGAAGCTTATAATAACTGACAAAAGACTTTTGAGGTTCAACAGATGTACAAACACACTGCGTCACTACCAGTTAGGAGTGTTTACTGCAGGGTTAAATACGAAGTGCTGTACTTGTGAGCCGTCATACTCGTACAGGTTATGGTTCCAGTGTTGTCGTGCTTTGTGATTATGGGATGGTTTCATGTGAAGGACTTTAAGAGGCACGAGAAAGAGAAGTATTAGGTTTTTGGCAAACAATAAAGGAAGGCAGTAATATTTATCTCTTCAATCTATTCCATTAGTGTTGGGAAGGATTGTGATGGTTCTAATTGATGAGTTGAGTTGGGGTTACTTCAGCCACCTGTTCATCATATTTAGCATTATTATTGAAGGTTTGGTCATATATTATTTAACTTCATACTATAAAGACTGTTCCTCCCTCAGTGACGAGGGCAAAGCCTCAAACATCCGTGTTTATTAATCTAACAAGTGTGCAGCTTGACCTACTTATTGATGAACTCTGCTATACGTGTTTTAAGAGGACACTACTGGGTTTGTGTGTAATCCCCACCTGTATCTCTCCTCCTGCATCATCTGTGTGAAGTAGCTGTAGTCTCGTTTGAACTGTGTGTTCAGAGTCTCCATGTCCTCGGCCAGCTGCACCTGAGCCTCCCTGATCTCGCGCACCATGTCCAGCACCTCCCCCAGACGCCCGTTGGAGTCCGACCTCCCCGGACCCCCGGATCCGGCCCCGGAGCCCCCGGCCGGGTTCCCGTTGGAGTCTGCGGACACGGACGTCCCCGTGGAGCACTCGTCGTCGCTCTGGTACTTTGACGCTTTGGCTACCGTGGTGGCGCTCCCGCTCAGGCCCCTCGCGGCGCCGTCCACGTGCAGCCCGGACCCCGACTCCATGGAGCTCTTGAGGTGGGCGATGTTGTCGGCGCTGCCGAACTTGTTCCTGATGAGGTTGGCGAACTCCCGGGACTTGTTGAAGAAGAACGGCGGCGAGAGCGACACGCCGGGCCCGATCGTCTTCACTTTATCCAGCGCCGGGTGGCGTCCGGTGGCGCTGATGTCCCGCAGGCTTCCCTCTTTGCTGTGAGTCCCGGACTCCTTGCTGCTGCTGCCATCCTTGTGGTTGTGTTTCCCGTTGGTCTCGCTGTCCTTCACGCGTCGGTGGTACTGTTCCAGCTTCCTTTGCAGCCGGGCGATGGTGTGCGCCGACTTCTGGTTCTTCTTCTCGAAGACCTGGCGAATTCGTCCCACCTGCTGCTTGTCGGCATTGTTCACCAGCTTCAGGTACTCGGCGACGTTCTGGTCCCGAGCCGCCTGCTCCACCTTGATCTGCTCCGTCACCTGAAGGCAGAACGACAATTATTTAGGATGCGCCGATTCAACCCCCTCTTTGTCATTCGGACTGTTTGTAACTCCTTTGCACTCACTCCAAACAAAAGTGTTCTACTCTGTTTTTATTACTCACTGGGATAGAATAGATTACATTAGTTGTTAATAATCTCTTCATTAGGTGTCAGTCCCGACTGATCACATTCAAATGTTCATATGATGAGAAACTTCTTCCAATGAAAATGAGACAACAAGGACAATGAAAATCAAATCAACTGAAATCTAATTGGCTCATCATTGGATAAAGACATTTAATAGCTCTATGAAGCACCATCAAACTGAGCTGAGGAGTTGTTTGATTTGGTTTTGTGATGTATGTTCAGAGGCTCTCGGAGTGAAAACACAGTAAATCCTCTGACCTTAAGGACCTTCTGCTGCAGGCTGTCGATGCCGAGCGCTCCTTTGGTGAAATCCAGCCCGACTCCGTCATCCCCGATGCTGTCCACCAGGTTGGACTCTGAGCCGCCGCGGCGAATGGGCACCGGGATGCTGAGGATGTTGGCATCGCAAGCGCTGCGCTCGGCCTGTAAACACACACACACACACACACACACACACACAAAAGGATTGGAATTATTAGGAGTGAAACTACAAAATCTATAAAACACTCTTTTATAGTTGTCCAGACCACAAGTTGATGCCTTAAAATGTCTCGTTTTGTTCGACCAACAGTCTAATATCCTGAAAATATTCAGTTGAAAGTGACATGTGGCAAAGAAACGCAGCAAATCATCTCATTTGAGAGCTTGAAACTAGAGAACGGCGACATTTTCTGCTTAAAAAATGACTGAAAGAAGCATTTTTCCATCTGACTGACAAGAGTTATTTCTGTGTTTACAACATTTAGTCATCAGAGTGTCTTCTTGAGTGGAGCCGATATCAATAATGCTTCAAAAGATCATCTGACGCTCTTTATTATTGTGACCGTGGAGGTTTAAAAGGCCTCATTGAACAACTTTAGAGAGGAAATTTAATCTCATCAAAAGGTACAAAAACAAAAGACGGCCGTTGCTCAGATGTCTATTCAGACTTTCAGGCACAAACCTGCTGCACAATATCAACCCATTGATATCAAACATCAGGTGTGTTCATGAGGCCGCGTAGAAGAGCTTCACGTTTTTCTTTCCACCTCTTGCTTAAACTGGCCTGCCTCGTCTCTTGGCGAGACTCACAGAAGATGAGAGCAGAGCTTTAAAACAGCCAAACAAGAGGATGAGGAGAGCTGAGTGTTCAGTCTTGAGAGGATCCTTGTGTTTAGACTGACGAGGAGGAAGAGCTGAGTGGAGGCTGATAATCCACTATTGACAAAAGCAGACGGTTACGCAACGCAACCTAAAATATTAGTATGTGGTAACTCTTGTTGCTACGGCAGCAAAGTGCACATAAGCTCTAAAACACGCACACACATGAGCAAACAGCTGACGAACCCTGAAGGCGTTTTTTTTTTTTGGCTGTATTGTTTTTGTCTTTTTCTTACACACACGGCGCTTTAATTGTGTCCTGTGGCTTTGTGATACGTCCTGCAGAGTCAGCAACCGTCATCCCCCCCCCCAAGCAGAGAATCATAGTCCGACATTAACAAACAGTCACTAACTTTATTAACATAAAGTCATTCATGTAATTCCTTTGTTCTGAATTAAACACTGTGCTTCTTCTCGCTACTCCTGAGTACAGATGGCTTCCACCCTCACAACACGTCCATCGGTCCAACCAGACGGCCACGAGCAGAACAAACCTGTGCTGCAGAGAAACGCCGATTCAGTCAATATCGAGGTAAACATGCAGAACATTTGCTGTTAGGAGCCTCGGAGACACGATATTCTTGCTCCTGTGCCTGGAACAGTGGGCGGTAAAAGGTTGAAAAGAAAAAATAATGAACGGATGATTAAATAATTCAGATTGGTGAAGTCAATCAGCTGCAGCCTGGTGATTAGTGCACGAGACTAGTGAGTGAGTCATCTTCCTATTGTAGCGAACACTAAGCCCCCTGCTGTGGACTCACAAACACACACAACCTGGAATAGTTTACATTTGTGAACAGATGACACTTTCATTTGCACAAACCAAGAAGCTTTTTCACATCCTCCTTTGCTGCCTCTCACGCACAAACAGCCTGGAAGTAAATCACATGTTTGCAGGAGATTCAAGTGTCAACATGCGGCTGTGTGAGCCTCACACTCGGCAGTCCACACATGTATCACACATCGGCTGGGATTATTTACATGTGAACACACAGAGGCACCATATGTCTCTGAAGGGCACATGCAGATATCAGGTCACTAGTCGGCCTTTGGCTCAATCCTGAAGGGTAAGTTAGCATTTGTACCAAATTTTATGGAAATTCATCCAATAGTTGTTGAGACATCTCACAAAACCGTTAAAAGAAAGGTCACCAACATCTGGCAGATGTTGAGATACTTCAGACTGGACCAAAGTGATGCACCGACTGACCTCGTTCCTGAAGCCATGCTGCTAGTGTGGCTAAAAATAATCTACTGATTAACTGATGAAGGAAATAATGATCACTTGAAGGCAAACACTCCAACAAGAAGAGGACCCACGACGAGGCAGATCTGGTGCGAGTATCTGCGTCGGTGTGCTTTCTATAATCAAAATCTAAGATTAGAGACGGGAGAGGAAGCTTATGCTGTTTACGGTGTGTGGAAGAGAGAGAGAGAGAGAGAGAGAGAGAGAGAGTGGGCCAACAAGTGCTACTCCAACTCCCACGAAGCACCGCTCATCTCAGCGTCTCATTAGTGGGAGTTGGGAGTATAGGGACCTTGCCACGGGGAGACGTACGGCCTGACACAAACACAGGAAATTGCCATGGGAAACGTTTCTTTTGTTGCTCCCAGAGAGAGTCCGAGGCTCTTTATTCCTGCCTCCAATCCATCAGTTTTATTTTCCACCAACACGAGCCAGAGGTAGACGCAAGTCAGATACCCGTCGTCCCTCGTGAGCGACTCAATCCTCCCCCCGTCAGCTGATCAGAGCGAAACGCAGAGGTGACGCTCAGCTATTTTGTCAAAAACCAATCAGCAGCTGTCCGTCAGTGACGAAAGAACAAATCAACACTAACACTCAAGTCAAGGCTGTTCACAGAAAATGTAAAATCCCCTCTGAATACGAGCCGAGTGAAGTGCTGTGCATACATTATTCAGTGTCCAGGGCTTCACACATAACCAAACCCACCGGTCGGAAATGGAAAATGTGGGCTTGTTAAAAATAAAATGAACAGGGAGTTGGAGAACTGGACAAAAAAAAAAAAAAAAAAAAGGAGTAAAAAAAAAAAAATCTAAATGTCATCCTTTTACTTTGAAGTTGTGATATATAGTGTTTATTTGTACAAAAACACACAATTCAAATGCTTGTATTTTTGCTTTGATAAAACATTGTTGGGGGCAATAATAGTTGTATTTTGTATAATAAGCTGCTCAGAGCTAGGAATGAATCAATTAAATATATACATAAATAAACACATGAATTAGTTTCTTACTGGCATTAGTACGGCATTAAGCCAGTAATGTATTTGCTGTAGATTATTCTTTACTTCTTCTCTGTGACAAATAAGAGCTTAAAAAGTGTAACAGAGATTATAGCACATTAGCCGTCTATTGGCTCTAAACCAGCATGGAGCCACACACAGTCTGAACCAGCACACCAGATTAGCAACGGCTGATTTAAACTGGTGTGTGTTTGAGTATTAGAGGAGGAAATGATGTGACTGGGAGATCAAGAGATTTAGAGGAGGAGATGTTTAAAACCAGACTTCTTAAGCCAATAACAGGAAGCCAGTTCAACATAAAAACATGCTCATTGCTCTGTAAGGCTGTAATTCCGAGCTACATGCTAATAATAGCAATGCTAACATCCTGATGTTTAGCAGGTATCATGATCATCATCTTAGTTTAGTGTCAGCATGCTAACCTTTGCTCATTAGCACCAAACACAAAGGGAATATCATTCTTTCTGCAGGTATTTGGTCATAAACTAAAGTATTGGACAAATTAAAAACTTTGACCGTGTGTTGGCGCTAAAGGGAAAGTCAGGTAAACACCAAAGTCAGTGAGAGTCATCCTCTGGGCCCCGTGGATGTTTGTACCAAATTACATTAAAATCCATCAAAATGTTGTTGAGATATTTCATTTTGGACCAAGGTTCCCTTCAGCTACATCGCTAGCTTGTCTAAAAATAGATGTTCTGTTCAGTTTTCTTTGGTATCAGTTCTCCTCCGGCACCATTATCGCTTCCTTCCCTAACAGGACGGACTATACAGCAGCTCTTTGGACAAATATGGAGATGTGCTCGGACCACAATTTAGATAATGACGTTTTGAAAGGCTTAATCTAGCAAACCCTATTATGTTTGCCAAGGCCACTCTGTTCCAACAGACTTGAGAAGAACACAGATGAGCATCCCTGGTAATTGATGACTGTACTTCCTGAGGGGCTCCAGAGAAAAGCTCGTACACCGAGCCTAATGCATCAACGCGGCCACGGAATAAGGTGCCGGTTACCCAAACCAGTGCACCTGCACTTTGATTTAAATACATTCAACCTGTGGGGCACAACTCTGAAATGCTAAATTGCAAAAGGAGCATTTTGTGCAGACTGAAAACTCCCTCTGCAACAAATTAAACACAGTATGAATAATAAATGAAACAACTGGGGATCTATACAGAGCTGTTCATCATCAGGATTAAAGCGTGTTCTCGGTGGGCCACTAAACACTGCGTCCGATAATTTTCACATTACCCTAATGCTGTTTTTTAAACTTTTACATTTCCACTGCTGTGACTTTAGGGCTCATAACTTTATTTTTAATAAGTAAGCAGAGGAGCTGCCTATTTTGAAGTCTGCAATCAAAAAGAGACCTCTGTGTCTGAATGCATAATGAATATTAGATACGCTGTTGGCCAATAGCTGCATTTTTAGGAAATAATTTGCGTTAACAGGAAAAGAAGTGAGAGACCTGGCTTGGTTTTGGTGACAGGATGTCGTCTCATTTCTAAAATGTATTCAGATCACGTACAGAGACAGAAAGAAGACAGAAGAAGAGGACAGCTTAAGGTGAAATGAGACATTTGGTTCATGTGAACTGGACTGGAGCACCTCCTGTCGGGACAATCGGCTGTGACTCTGTGGCCTGAAAAGAGGAGCCTCCTGTGGGGAGGACGAGCTGGCAGACATGCACACCACCTCCCCGTGGGGCTCCAGAGATGCAACAGAGAATTAACCAGGGAATAAATGGAAGGCAAATCATCATTAAACTGGTTATTAAAGATTATTCTAATGATAGAAGGTGTCCTAAGCTGACTAAATGATAATTCAATGTAGTTTATTGATGTTCTGTGGAATTGTATCATGATCATATTATGAGCGGCGTATAATACATAATTAAAGCTAGTAATGTCAACACATACTGATAATGCTAACAGAAACAATATGAATATTATCTTCACTGTGGCTGCAACGAACGACTATTTTCATCATCGATTGATCGGACGATTACTTCCTTGATTCGTTGATTGAATGTTAGCTCTAAAAAAATGACACAAAGTAGTGAAACATGCCTGTTGCCAGTTCCCAACGCTCAACGTGGGACCTACAGTCCTTAAGTAACCCAGAGATATACATTTAAATATCATAGCGGGCGAAAAGAAACATCAAATATTCACATTTGTGAAGCATGGAGTGCTATATATATACATGGACATATTGCGTCGTCATAACTGTGAAAGACGGAGAGATCCACACACTGTTGGACTTTTAAAAAAAAGCATTTGATCAAAGGACCTCTTTGTATTGTTCCGCCTTTGCTCTGTTGACAACAACACCCTTGTTCTATCTGCAGTTACACACACACACACACACACACACACACACACACACACACA